AACCGTGTTGAAATCCAGAATATAAGACGGATCCCCAATATACTTCCGGAGCATAGAAACATGAAATACCGGATGCACACCCGACAAGCTGGGTGGCAAAGCAAGCTCATAAGCCACCTCCCCAATCCTCCGAAGTACCTCAAAAGGCCCAATGAACCGAGGACTCAATTTACCTTTCTTCCAAAATCTCATAAAACCCTTTATGGGTGAAACCTTCAACAAAAGCTTCTCACAGACCATGTAGGACACATCCCGAACCTTCCTGTCAGCATAACTCTTTTGTCTCGACTACATTGTATGAAGACTCTCCTGAATCACCTTCACCTTGTCTAAAGCATCATGCACCAAGTCTATCCCCAATAGTCTAGCCTCGGCCGGCTCAAACCAACCAACTGGAGATCTACACTGCCTCCAATACAAAGCCTCATATAGAGCCATCTGAATACTCAACTAGTAACTATTTTTATAGGAAAACTCTACGAGCAGTAGAAACTGATTCCATGACCCTCCGAAATCAATGATACCAGCACGCAACATGTCCTCTAATACCTAAATAGTGTGCTCGGACTTCCCGTCCGTCTAAGGGTGAAAAGCTATGCTCAACTCAACCTGAGTACCCAACTCTCACTGCACAGACCTCCACAACTGTGAAGTAAACTGAGTGTCCCTATCTGAAATGATGGAAACTGGGACACCATGCAAACAAACAATCTCCTGGATATAGATCTCTGCCAACCGCTCTAAAGAATAAGTAGTACACACCGGAATAAAGTGCGCAGACTTGGTCAGCCGATCCACAATCACCCAAATAGCATCAAACTTCTTCAAAGTCCATTGGAGCCCAACTACAAAGTCCATAGTGATCCGCTCCCACTTCTACTCTGGAATATCCATCCGCTGAAGCAAGCCACCCGGTCTCTAATGCTCATATTTCACATGTTGACAATTGAGGCACCGAGCTACAAATCCCACAATGTCTTATTTCATCCTCCTCCACCGATAATGTTGTCTCAGATCCTGATACATCTTTGCAGCACCCGGATGAATGGAATACCGCGAGCTATGGGCCTCCTCCAGAATCAACTCGCGAAGCCTATCTATGTTGGGCACACATATCCGGACCTGCATCCTCAATACCCTATCATCACCAATGGTCACATCTCTAGCATCATCATGCTGAACTCTATCCTTAAGGACAAGCAAATGAGGATCATCATACTGGTGCTCTCTAATGCGATCAAATAAAGAAGACCGAGAAATCACACAAGCCAATAACAACTGGGCTCCGAAATATCTAACCTCACTAACCGATTGTCCAAGGCATGAACATCAATTGCAAGAGGTCTCCCCCGAACAGGAATGTATGCCAAACTCCCCATACTCACCGCCTTTCGGCTCAAAGCATCGGACACCACATTGGCCTTCCCCGGATGGTACAAAATAGTAATATTATAATCCTTTAGCAACTCCAACCACCTCTGATGCCTCAAATTGAGATCCTTCTGCTTGAACAAGTGCTTGAGGCTACGATGATCCGTAAACACCTCACAAGACACACCATACAAATAATGCCTCCAAATCTTCAACGCGCGAACAATGGTAGCCAACTCCAAATCATGAACAGGGTAGTTCTTCTCATGGGGCTTCAACTGACGAGAAAAACAAGCAAGAACTATACCCTCCTGCATCAACACATACCCAATACCAACTCTCGAAGTATCACAATACACGGTATAAGAACTTGAAGCTGATAGCAATACTAACACTAGAGTTGTGGTCAAGGCAGTCTTGAGCTTCTGAAAGTTCTCTTCACACTCATCTGACCACATAAATGGAGCACCCTTCTGAGTCAACTTGGTCAAGGGCGATGTGATAGATGAAAATCCTTGAACGAACAGGCGGTAATAACCCGCTAAAGCAAGAAAACTGCAAATCTCTGTGGCTGAGAATAGTCTAGGCCAACTCTGAACCGCCTCTATCTTTTTCGGATCAACCTGAATACCCAAACTGGACACCACGTGCCCCAAGAATGCCACTGAATTGAGCTAGAACTCATACTTAGAGAACTTTGCATAAAGCTTCTCCTCCCTTAATCTCTGCAACACAACCCTCAAATGCTCCGCGTGCTCCTCCTGACTACGTGATTACACCAGGATATCATCAATGAAAACTATGATAAATGAGTCAAGAAACGGTCGGAACATGTTGTTCATCAAATGCATGAATGCTACTGGGGCATTGGTCAGCCCAAAAGACATCGCCAAGAACTCATAATGACCATATCGGGTCCTGAAAGTTGTCTTAAGAATATCCGACTCCTTGATCTTCAACTAGTAATAACCTGAGCAGAGATCAATCTTGGAGAACACTCTTGCTCCCTGAAGCTAGTCAAATAAATCATCAATACGAGGCAAAGGATACTTGTTCTTAATTGTTGCTTTGTTCAACTACCTATAATCAATGCACATCCTCATCGTGTCATCCTTCTTCTTCACAAATAGAACAGGCGCACCCCAAGGCGACACACTAGGCCGAATGAACCCCTTATCAAGGAGTTCCTGAAGCTGCTTCTTTAACTCCTTCAACTCCGCTGGTGCCATACGATACGGTGGAATAGAAATGGGCTGAGTGCCCGGCACCATGTCAATAACAAAATCAATATCCCTATCCGGTGGCATGCCCGACAGGTCTGCAGGAAACACATTAGGAAAATCTCTTACAACTAGAACAGAATCAATACTGGGAGTCTCTACACCGACATCCTTCACAAATGCTAAGTATGAAAGAAAATCGTTCCCAACCATACGCTAGGCCTTCAAGAAAGAAATCACCCTACTGGGAACATAATCAGTCGATCTTCGCCACTCAATCCGTGGTACACCCGGCATAGCCAATATCAATGTCTTAACATGACAGTCCAATATAGCACGACACGGAGATAGCCAATTCATGCCCAATATAACATCAAAGTCTACCATACATAACAACAAAAGATCCACTCAGATCTCTAGACCCTCAATAGTCACCACACATGACCGGTACACATGGTCTACAACAACAGTATCGCCTACCAGAGTAGATACACGAACAAATGAAACTAGAGACTCATGAGGCATATCCAAATAACGAGCAAAGTATGATGACACATAAGAATAAGTGGAACTGGGATCAAACAATACAGAGGCATCTATATGGTAGACTGAGACAATACCTGTAATAATAGCATTTGAAGCAATAGCATCGGGTCTAGCTGGAAGTGCATAGAAATAGGCCTGACCGCCACCTAATCGACCTCCCCCTCTAGGGTGACCCCAAGCTGACTAACCTCCACCCCTAGCTGGCTAGGTGGGTGGTTAAGTAACTGGCACTGAAGTCGATGGCTGATCCCTCTGTTGAGATGAACCCCCAAGACGACGAGGAGATTGCCTACACATATGAACCAACTCTCCACACTCATAGCAACTCCCCGGTGCTGGAGACGGGGACTGAAGGGAATCCCTATTACCGAAATGACTAGCAGATGCACCTGGCAAAGAAGAATCCTGAACTGATGGAGCACGGGAAGAACTCTGGGCTGGAAGGGCACTGAGTGATTACTGGCCCTGATGAGAATTGTGCGAACCATGACCCGATGACGCCCCACAATAACCTTGGCGAGCTGGCTGAGCATGCTTGAATAGACGACCTCTACCATGATGAAACTGACCTCTCGAATGAGCACCACCATAACTACCAGAACTCCAAGGCCTCTTGACCTCCCTCTCATCTCGCTCCTGGCAATGAACTGACTTAATCTCTCGAGTAATGTCTACAACCTCCTTAATAGTAGCACCAAACACCTTCTCCTTGGTCATGAGAATACGAAGCTGATACATGAGGTCATCATTGAACCTCCTAATCCCCTCTCTCTCTCTCTCTCTCTCTCTGTAGGAACCAACCAAACCGCATGACGAGCTAACTCCGAGAACCTCATCTCATACTGGGTCACAGTCATCTCTCCCTGACGCAACCACTCGAACTACCTACACAACTCCCTTTTGCGAGACTGTAGCACATACTTCTCCAAAAAGAGAATCGAAAACTACTGTCAGGTAATGGGTGCTGTGTCAACAGGCCTATGCCTCTCATAAGCCTCCCACCAAGTGAAGGCATCTCCAGAAAACTGAAAAGTTATGAAAGTCGGAGGCTGAAGTCTACCAAACCTCTCCAACTTGCGCTGCTCGTCCTCTAGCATAGCAGGAGCTACATAGTCCTGAATAGTTGCTACCAACTGGGCTGGATATGCCCCCGGTATCTGAAGTCCCTGCACGACCTGCTCAGGTATGCGAGCGGCGGGAGTTTGAGTGCCTCCCCCAACCTGAGAAGTAGATGCAGCTGTAGTGACTGAGACCCTATGAACTAAGCCAGTGCATACTAATAGAATCTCAGCAAGAGCCTCGTGAAGACCCGGAATCACAATGGGCATAGCTGGTGCCTAAACTGGTACTGTTGGAGCGTCCACAACTAGGACCTGATCCTGAAATGGGGCAGCTAGTAGATCTGCAGGTGCTGCCCTATCTGCTATGCGGGCTACACCCCTATCCCTACCACGGCATCGACCGCGTCCTTGGCCTCTAGTGGCCACAACTAGTAGTACTGGTGGTCATCCATCCTGACTGGTCGCTCGTGTCCTCACCATCTATGAGAGAATAGAATAACATAAGTTTAGTGTTCAGATTAACAGATTCACACAACAAGAATTTCAAGAATATGAAGTTTACTAATGGTTCTACAGCCTCTCGAGGATAAATACAAACGTCTCCGTACCGATCCGTGAGACTCTACTAAACCCGCTCATGACTTGTGAGACCTATGTAACCTAGGCTCTGATACCAACTTGTCACGATCCTAAATCCGGACCCAGTCGTGATGGCACATATTGTGAAACAAGGCCAGCTGACACAACTCCCAATTCATTTTAAACAATTATAATACCACAATTTAAGTCATTAACTTGCTAATAATCCCAAAATAAAAGTGAAATAGTATAATATGCGAAAAAACCAATACAGCCCGACATCAGGGTGTCACCAGTCATGAACATCTAAATAACTGTCTAAAAGTAGGAAGAGTCTACATAGTCGACTATAAAGAAATCCGGTACAAATGAAAATGAAGATAGGAAGTAGAAACACTGGGCTGCGAAACCCGAGCAGCTACCTAGTGGACTCCCAACAATCTGCTGGAAGTTATCAACCCTCGCTAGAAGGACCCGAAGCTCCAAAATCTGCACACATGGTGTAGGGAGTAATGTGAGTACACCAACTAAGTGAGTAATAAGAATAAATGAAGGTTGAGCGATAAGAAAGCACGTAAAGCACAGCATTATGCTACAAGAGGGAGTATGAAATCAATACAATGCAATAAATCACTAAAAATCCCTTTAAAGCCTCTTTTAACAATTAAACAAGTAAATGATAAAGCAGCGAGAATAGATAAACATATAAAATCAGCCCCTCGGGCACAATATCAACAGAATTAGCCCCTCGGCAATAACATGGAACAACATCAGTCCCTTGGGCTATATCAAATATCACACTGGGTACCTGCGCTCAATGGGGTTGTACAGACTCCGGGAGGGGCCGCTTATGGCCCAAGTGCAATGTCAGACCATCTCGTGGCATAATCAAATAGGCTCTCAGCCTCACATTAAGCCACCTTGTAGCGTACAACTCAGGCACTCGACCTCATAATCATAATAAGTACAACACTGTTGTGGCGTACAACCCGATCCCGCAATAATCCTCCTAATACAAGCCCTCGACACTACTCAGTCAGAAATCTCTAAAAGCCACTCGAGCACAGTAAAATGTGACGCTCAGCCCAAAATATCATTTAAAGTTTTAAAATAGAGTAAACATGACTAAGTTATGAAAATAGTAGAATATAGCATTAATGAGTACAAATATAAAATCAAAAGATTGAGGAAATAGCAGTAGAAATTCCCTAAGGGTCTAAAACAGTTGGCACGAGACCCAAATATGGCATTCAGCCCAAAACATGATGATAGCAAACAGTTTTCGATTAAATACGCGGTAAAACAGTTATTCAGGACGGACTAAGTCACAATATCCAACAGTGCACGACCCCACGCTCATCATCTAGCGTGTGCGTCACCTCAACATAGCACAACGATGTGTAATTCAGGGTTTCATACCCTCAGAACAACATTTACAATCATTACTCACCTGAATCCGGTCCAACCTCTAGCTCGCGATGCCTTTGACCCTCGAATCGGCCTCCGGATGCTCCAAATTTAGCCAAAATAAGTACATAACCATCAAAATATGCAAAGGAAACAAAGCCCGCTCAAAAGTAATCAAAATACCACGCAAATCCCGAAATTAACCAAACCCGACCCTCGGGCCCACGTCTCGAATTTCAATAAATTTTACATCATTAGACTCCTTATCTCCCCACGAGTTCATCATATCAAAAGTACTAAAATTCGATTGCAAATGACCCCTCAAACCATTGCTCAAAGATCTCCAATCTCAAGCCCTAGTTTTCCAAATTTTAACCCTTAATTTCCATAAATTACAAGCTTAATCCATGAAATAACACCATGGAAACGGGCTTTTGGTTCAACAATCTTACCTCAACGAAGCTCCTTTGAATTCCCACTTCAAAATCCGCCAAAAAGCTCCAAAACTGACTTAAAATGGTGAAGAAAGGCTAAAAATCACGAAGTCCATAATTTATATGTTCTGCCCCTGCTAAACCACTTTTGTGGTCACAACCTTGCACCTGCGGTCCCAGGTGCGCTTCTGTGCAAATCACTTAAACACCCAACCTTTGCATCTGCGATAAGATACCCACACCTGCGGTATCGCAGGTGCTCTCACCTAGCCGCTTCTGCGGCTCCAGCTCTCCTTGGCCCCTTCCACTTCTGCGACTTATTTTCCGCATCTGTAGGGGTCGCACCTGCGGCCTCCCAACCGCAGATGCGGTTATGATAGCAGTCCAAAAACTTCAGCTGCCATTTCTAAATTCCTATCTTTCTGTCAACCACTCGAAATCACCTCGAGGCCCCCGGGACCTCAACCAAAAGCACAAACAAGACATATACCACCATTCAAACTTATATCAATCTTTAAAACACCTCAAAACTCATCGGATTCAAGCCTAAGGTTCCCAAAATCTTCCAAATTCTGCTTTTGATCAAAAAGTCTATCAAACCACGTCTGAATGACCTAAAATTTTGCACACATACCCCAAATTACACAACGGACCTACTGCAACTCCCGGAATCCCATTCCGACCCCTATATCAAAATCTCACCTATCAACCGGAAAACGCAAAAATTTCAATTTCGCCAATTTCCAAAACATATTCCGATCACACTCATAAGTCCTAAATCATCTCCTGAAACTATCCGAACTATCGAAATTCACACCCGAGCCCTAATTCACATAAGTCAACATCTGGTTGCCTTTTCCAACTTAAGCTTACTCAAATGAGACTAAGTGTCTCAAACCTTACCAAAACCATTCCGGATTCGAACCGACTAACCCGATACCACATAACACGGATAAAAAAAGCATAAAGAAGCAGAAATTGGGAAAACGGAGCTGTAACTCATGAAACAACCGGTCGGGTCGTTATAGATAAATAAGTGTTATAAAGGATAAAGAAGTACACGGATTAAAGAAAACGAGTTTCGCTGAAAGTGGATAATTTGGAATAAAATATGGGTCGAGCGATAATACTCGATAATTATGAAGTAGTACCATGCAAGGTACCATATGACCATGGTAGTACAATATATAAAGTATATATGAAGTATTTTAAAAATAAATAGAATTTTAAGTAATTTGTGGTAATTTTTAAATTATGCGGGTGATTGATTAATTACCTGGTAACAGGACATTACTCAGTAAACTAATAAGTGGATAAAAAAATAATTAATATCCCACCCCCACCCCACGTGGCAAAAAGCCACAAAGTTGAATTAACTAAGTATTCACTTGGCCAGATGGCTAATGTGTAGTAATCGAGTCATAATTTAAGTCTTGATAAAAAAATTAAATCTTATCCATAACCTTTAGTAAAAATGCCTTGTAAAGGCTTCAAAAACTATGATCTGCCTTTGGTATTAAAAGCCAAGGAAGTTGAAGCATAAACGTTCCATTTTCAAAACCAAAAGCTTAGAAGCAATTTCGTCCAAAACTTCAACAAATCAAAGCAGATTTCATTCCTCAATTACAAAGCGCATAAGCTTAATCCGATTTATAGGTTCTAAGTTCAATCCATGAAGGTTTCCAACGGGATATTATACGGAATTTTTTCTACTCCAGGTATGTTAAGGTCTTCCCTTCTTTCTTTTGGCATGGTCCAAATTATACTGAAGTAACGAGCAAACACAGTTTCCATAAGTTACTCTGTTCATAAATATAGTAGGGGTATCTATATTCTTGATTCCCCATGAAAATTATTATTATCTTCTGTTCATGGGTCTCAGAATAATACGCAGTTGGAAAAGTTTATCCGGAAGTAATATTGAGATTATTACGTATTTTTCATGCATTGACCTGTGACCGGATGGTGTTATATATGCTTATATATGTAAATATATGTATATGGGAGATGGAAAAAGGCTATGGCATTATATACGCACCACCACCTGATCAGCTGGTATATGTTGATGATGTTGCCCAAAGTGGCCGAGACGATATGATGGGATGCCCTTAGTGGCTTGATGATATTATGTACACTCATACCTATGCATGGTACGACATTTATACGCACGTGCATGACATTATAAACGTTTCAAAATTTACAAAGTTATTTAGATTTAAAGATGTGTTTCTGTATTTCATGTTTTATCTATGTCTTTTACGTACTAATTTTCATGCCTTACATACTCAGTACATTTTTTGTGCTGATGCCCTATTTCACGGGGCCTGCATTTCATGCTCGCAGGTGCAGTTAGGCAACCTGACGGTCCCTCTCCTTAGGATCCCTTATCAGCGAGAGTTGGGGTACTCCACTTGATCCGGAGCTGCTTTGTTTTTGGTATGATACGTTTGTGTGTGTGTATATATATATATATATATATATATATATGTATGTGTGTGTATGGGTATAATGTGGGTCAGTCCCGTCTTTGTACAGCTATATTTCCATTAGAGGTCTATAGACAATATGTCTAGTTGGGTTGTATATGGCCTTGTCGGCTTTCAGTTATTGGATGTATAGTTGTCTATTGCAGCCTTGCCGGCTCGCCCACTGTATTCTGCATGTATACGTGCATATGCCTTGTTGGGTAATTTCTTTCATGTACATTATTTTCATAACTCAATAGATGTTATACAGGTTCATATCCTAGACGCATGCTTAGGGGTGTTTGACAGGTAGGACTCATGCACCCATCGCGGCCCATCGGTTTGGGCCATGACAATTTCGAGGTCTGACAGCGTTTCAGGATCTAGGCATGAAGTCCGCAAGCATGTCATGTTATTGAAATATGCATTTAATAAAACTGAAAAGAGAATAAGAAAAGTGACAAGATTAAGAAAAGAGACATTCCTGGATAGTGAAATATTAATTCCATTTGATTTTTTTTATTATTTTTTTGATGATTTTTAAAAGATAGAAGGGTTAACATTGGAAAGTAAAATAATAAAGTAAAACATCCAGATCACACCCTGAGATAATCCAGACGCAGAAAGGATAGCAAGACTGGCTACCGAGATTCCCATCTAATAAGGAACTTTTAGGCTTGGTGACCGTTTTTGTCTTTTCTTCTGTCTCGGCAATGGCCTTCAGTGCCGTATCGAATTTCTCATTGTAAGCAGGCAACAGATTGTTCATCACATCAGGAGCCTCTTCGTCCCGAAGAACGATTTTTTCAGCTTCAATCAAATCTTCAACTGCCCTTTTGAGGGTCCAACAGTCTTCTATATTGTGTCCCACTGCTCCAGAGTGGTATTCACATCTAGCATAAGCTCGGTGCGATGGGGACTTGGGGTTTGGCCGGTTTGGGTCCACTGGCTGTAGTAGACCTCGCCTGACTAGCTTTTGGAACAAGCCCGAGTATGATTCACCAATAGGGATGAACTGATTCCTTTTGAAAGGTTCTCTTAGGCGAGGATTGTAATGGGAACATTTAATTGGAGATTATATGGAGCTTGGTAAGGATGGGCATTCTAGGAGGTGGAGCTCGATTTTGTGTGTAATGTTGTGGCCGCATGCAAGGTGGCACGTTCATCACCGCATACCAACAAAACCAACCATCTGAACAGAACCTGGCTAATTTGCTCACACCACAACCTTGTTAGTTTTGAGACATTTAACACATAGGAAATCACATGTTGGGATGCAATGCACCTAAGAGTTAAATGCTTCTACTATGTGTTTGAACGGTTGCATGTTTCATCCCAGCCTTAACTAACCCTTTCAATATGTACCTCTTTTCTTTTATTTCCACCTCTCTTTAATCACTCTTGAATTTTTTCATTTCGTTTCTGTCGCTCTTTTATCTTTTGGCACTCTCTTTTCATTTCTTTTTTTGTCAATCTTTTATTTTTTGCCACTCTCTTTTTTTCGTTTTTCTTTTTTTTCACTCAATTTTTCCTTCTCTTTTTTTTCCAGTTTATTTTTCACTCAATTAATTTTATGGTTAAGATTGAATCCGATGGGGATTGCCTACGTATCATGATACCGCATGAATCAAATCTTGCGTAGTTCGGGAAGACTGAGAATAGAGTAAATAAACTAACTTTTTATTCTATTTTTTTTATAAAACTCAAGCAATGAAAGCGTTTAAAAAAGGAACATAACCTTTTTTTTTTTGTGCATTTAGTTTTTTATTGAATATTAGAAAGAAAGGCTATTAAAAGGAAAGAAAATATTTTTGGATTTTTGATTTTGAATTTTTTTTTTTTTTGAAATTTTTGAAAGAAAGACTTCTAAAGAAGTAAGAATTTTTTTTTTTTGGATTTTGATTTGTTTGTTTTTTATTTTTGAGAATTTTTGAAAAGGAAGACTTATAAAGAAGAAAGAAAATACTTTTTTGGATTTTTTTTTTGGGAAAAAGACTTCTAAAAAAGGTAGAAAATATTTTTTTGGATTTTGTTTGATTTGTTTTCTTTTTTCGAATGAAAGACTTCTAGAAGAAAGAAAATATTTTTGAATTTTGGATGTTGCCTCTTAATTTTTGAAAGAGAGACTTTTAAAAAAAATATTTTGGATTTCTGAGTTTTTTGTTTTAAAATTTACAAAAATACTTCTAAAGAAAAATGAAAATATTTTTGGACTTCCAATTTTTCAATTTATTTATGACATTTACGAAAGAAATACTTTTAAAGAAAGAAAAGAATATATTTTTTTCTGATTTTTATTTTATTTTTTTTGGAATTTTTAAAAAAATACTTCAAAATAAAGGAAACAAGTATTTCAGAATTTGATTTTTTATTTATTTTTCTTTTTATTTCTTTTTTTTCCGTATGAAAGACTTCAGAAAGAAGGAAAATATTTTTTTTGAAAGACTTCTAAAGAGGAATTAAAGGAAATTTTTTGGATTTTTTGTTAAAAAATTGGTGCCGAAACCGATATTGTTGGCCTACTTATCTCACGTCCGGTAAGAATTAGACCCGCATAGTTCGGTCGGTTTTGACAGAACTGAGGAAACATAATTTTTGAAAATATTGGGTTATTTTCTTTCTCTTTTTTTAAAAAAAAAATTGGTTGAGTTTCGAATTTTTTTCAAATACTTACCTCTCACGCTTTTTTTTATTTTTTTATTCGCTATTCTAGAAGCCAGTCAACATGCAAGGCGAAACAAATAGATGCGCAAGTAGCACGTAAGATGCATCAGGATAGTCTTTTAGTTTGGGTACACCTATCCTAGACGGACCCAACCCCTGTGTTGAGTCCCCAAAGTCAAATGCACATGATGCAAACAAGCATTCTACTAGGAATCCGGCATGAGGCTATGGTATTCTAGGTTTAAAAAACTTGGGTGTATTATTCTAGACCTGGCTTACTCGAGCGGACATCTCGAGCCGAGGGGGGGCAGCGTACCGGGATTACCGAAGCTTTACTGGCTTTGCAACTTGTCCGAACTTCGTTCTAAAATTGGGATATGACTCTAACAGAAAAAAGCTACACGAAGCGCACGCTTCCTAGATCATTTAGAAGACTCAGAGAGAAAAGGGTTTCGTAGCAGTTTATATATTGTTCACTCAATATCAAAGCGATTAAAAGCAACATTTAGCACATCAAGCTCAATACTCGTAAAATAAGATAATAAATAAAAAGCCAACTATCATAGTTATTCTAAGCTCGAATTTTGAACCCTGAACCAGAAGTTCTGGGTTCTTATCCCTAGTAGAGTCGCCAGAGCTGTCACACCTCCTTTTTACATGATGAGGAGGGATATAAGAGAGTTTTTCTAATTAAAGTGACATTAATCGAAATGAGATTATTTATCTAATTTCAGAGTCGCCACTTGGAATAAATTATGGTGTCCCAAGTCACCGGTTTATTTTAAATCTCAAATCGAGGAAAATTGAATCTATTTTTGGTTCACGAACACAGAAGACCGGATAAGAAATTTTGTTAACCCAGAAAAAGGTGTTAGGCATTTCCGAATTTCATGGTTTTAGCACGGTTGCTCAACTATTAATAATTGGCCTAATTATCTGATTAATTATATATTTTAAACCTATTGTGCATTTTTAACTTTATACCGCTTTTAATTATTTATGGAGTTTATTTAAATAAGTCGCGATGTCGCGCACTTATTATTTTTGAATACATTGCGAATTGCGTCACATGAAATGCACCGGCGATTTACAACATGTTTATTTTAATTATTGTTTGAGGTTATGGTCGGGTCACATGAAATGCATATATAAATTGGGATTTACGTATCGTGATCATACTACGGGAACCGTACCCATAATCACGATAATTATTATTAACGTGCCTAAAGCAAACTGCGGATGTTCATAATTCTCCTAAAAGAACTAACTTGAGGTTATTGCAAGGACACAAATTATGGATAGTTAATGTGGATGAATATGTGAAGATTGAGAAAATTCAAAAAAAAAATATTCTTGTTCAACAAACATCGAGTTTTAACTTAATGTCTCCAATAGTTGGCATGAACTTAAACAAATAGGATGTTACAAAATGACACAAATGATGATGAAAGAATACGTCAAAAATAGAATCAAGAATTATCCAAACTTTAAGATTAGCTTAACAAAGATTCACATGCCAAATGAAGACTTTTATAATAACAGACACTTGAAATCAACTGGGAGCTTGATTTATGAATTCCAAATGATATGCACAAAGTTTAACACGAGATTTACGGTCAAAACAAGCCTAACAAAATTAATAAACGGGAATCAATTAAGGCAAATTATATCTTGGGTTGTGTATCACAACATAGGGCACAAGAATGTTGAACATGAAAAAGAGCATAATAATTCAAATATAGTTTCACACAAAACCCAGAAAAACCAGTCAAAACAAAATACCAAACAATCCATTCAAATCAAAATATCAAAATTTATGTTTTATCCAAACACTTTCACAATCACAAACCTTCAACTCTATTCGTCGGTCATAAAATTCAGATGCATCTGATTATGAAATAAGAATAGACATTCATTCTCTTTAACAAACTTAGACAAATTTATATATCATACCACTCATTTCATTATTTAATTTAAGGCAAAGTATAATAGGTGTGAATCCACCTACCTAATAGCAAGAACAATTGAATTTGACCGAACAGAGTTCTGAAATTGAGGGGAAACTCCAACAACAGAAACATCGGCGACGCAGCGATAGCAAAAGCAGCGAAAATCGAACGGCGATTTGAATTGGACTTCTCTTTAAAACCCAAAAATGTGGAATATAACACAACAATAAGAGAGTAATTTCAGAACATTGCTTTTGATTCTCATTTGTCTCTGTTTTTTTGAAACCTTTGTTCTAAAATCTCAGAAATGATTTTTTAATTGCAGCCTCAATTTCGTATGTTAGCCAGTGTTTTGAATGCGTGTATCTTTTGAGAGTGAGGATCTGGGATGTAATTTAGAGAAATGGAATTAGCGGGGAGGGAGACGGTGTTGGGGTTTCCAAAAATGGGAGAATCTGATCTCTTTCAAGATGGGAGGGGTGCGCCGTTTATCATTTTTCTTTTAAAAGAGGGAGGTTTTCTTAGGTCTTTTGTTCTAGTTTAGGAAATTGGGAGGGTCTAGTTTTAATATAAAAAATGAGTGTTGGGCCAGTCAGGAACTAGCTGAGGCAGATATGGGTTTTTGGGCCAGGCGAGAAGGCTAAAACGAGGATGGGATTAGACTGGCCCAAGTTGAGCTAATGAAGCTAAAAAACTACTAATTTAAAACCAAAAAGCTAAAAATGTAAAAATGACTTGTATTTTTTTTTTTGTGATTTTTGTTTGATTATGCAATTAACTCATTTTTTATTAAATCCCTAAATGCAAATTAAACCTAAGATAGCATGAAATAAAAATGTGACAATTTTTTATGGTTTTTTCTATGATTTTGAGATATTAAAAATGCATAAAATGCAACTAAATAAAGAAAAACTCCTCAAACCCATTAAAATTATTTGTTTTGTTATTTTGTTCTTTGTTTTTGAAGCACTTGACACTTTCTTGTTGAATGTTCACGTGAGTGAGCTTGACTGAAATCATTAAGTGTTCAAGTGAATGTATTTTACCTCCCTTGATTGTATATATACATGTGTGACATCACTTATAATGATGTAATAAGGGTAGGTAAAAAGTCTTCCCTGAAAAGTTGACTGCAACATTGTTCCTGCACTGTAGCGTGTGCAGGCAACAACTTTCCAACTGGAGAGTTGACTTCGTACAGTCTCCTCGGGAACTGGTAGGGACCTGTTCCCTCATCTGTTCCTTCCACTTTAAAGAGTTGAATCATATCCCCCGCTGAATCCCAAACTGGAACTTTGTGATCTTAAGGTCTTGTAAATGTGTAACAGGTTCCTTATCTGGTTCTTGGATAGTAAGTTTGTTGGATCATCAAAACATAAAGCGAAGTACTTATGACCAAAGTACTTGTAACCTATTAATTTCCCCATTTTTGATGAAGACAAACTCATAATTTAAAAACCCAGAAAGAGCCACAAAGAATCAGACTGTGAACCAGAAAGACTGTAATTATCCCCCTGAAACTCTGCATTCCCCTTAATCAGTACCTGAAAATGAGTTCCCCCTGAATCTGTATTTCTCCCCCTTCAGATTATTATTCAATTAAATCATCTCCCTTTTGGCATCATAAAAAGCATAGAACAAGTTAGTAGCATAAAGAAGTCTAGCATTGCTAACTCATGTCACTTATGCGCTTACAACATGATAGAAAACATTAAAAAAAACAGTAGCATAGATAGCAAAGAGGAAATCACTTTCATTAACCAGATTTGGACTTTTACAGGAGGGAACAGAATCATTATTTTCATCCATAGTCTAAAACAAACAAAAAAAACAATATCCAGAAACAACAAAACATCACCAAAAATAACTTAAGAAGATAGACACTTGAAACTGGACACTCAGGGGACATTCTTTAGGGGATAGTGGAGGAAAGGGGGCTTGTAAGAGGCAGCAAGGGTTTGGAGAACAAGTTCCATGCGAGCATTCACAGATATTTGCTCATTGAGCAGTCTTTCCTTCAGGTCCTCCACTTGTTTCCTAAGTTCAACATTATCCTTTGTTAGGCGTGCAACTTCTGAGCTATGAGAACTACTAGAACTAGGTGCCTCTTGTTACTAACTGATGTAACTCTCAAGAATTACGTTCCTGGCCTTCAACTTCCTGATCTCCTTTGTGGCACTGTTCTGAGCATTTATCAGTTGAGATATAGTAGAAGTGCTTCCAACTCGTCCGACCTTGTCAATGCACTCACACTCCTCAAGAGTAATTTTTGAAAAGGATTGCTTTTTAGTGACTACTTTGGCTTGTCCCGGAGGTACCTTGAAGAACTCAAAGACCTTTGTGAGAAGAAAACCATAGGGTAGTCCAAGATTCCCATCCTTAAGGTTTTCTACCTTCTGCATATGCTCAATCATTATGGCAGGCAAATTGATGGTAGTAAAATTATCCAAGGCTTACATAAGGAATAAGTCAGCTTTGGATGTAACAGATCTTCTTTCAGCGCGAGGAAGCAACACCTTGTTAACCATCTCAAAGAGCAACTGATATACTGGAAGGAGTGCCTTCTTATGCACATGTTCCCCATGTTGTATTGCCTTGTCCTTGACAATGGCATTTCTAAAGTTTGATGTACAGGAACCCTGAGCAGACGACAGTCCATCGGCAGGAACACCCAGAATTGACCCCAATAAGGTAGAGTCCATAACTATGTCCACCCTCAACACACATATTTAATCACCATCTACCATGAAGAGGCTAGTATAGAAACTCCATACCTCATCTTAATACGCCTTGGGAGTCTCGTTTGTAAACAGATTGGTCCATTGTTGAGAATCACACATGTCCACTAATTATCTCATCCTAGCAAGTTCTAGAATGTTAAAGGCAAATGTGCGGTCCCACAGTATTTTCTGATTTCTCAACTTCCTTTTCTCAGAACTCGGAGTCTCACTAACTTTTGCTTTCTTGATGGAACTAGGTTCCTCATCATCATCCATTTTTCTTTTTACTGACTTGTGAACAGACTTTCCCTTCTCCACTGACCTTTTCTGCATATGTTCACCATATTTTTCCACTTCTTCATCATCAGACTTGTCACCACTTTCTTTCACTATTTTGTCACCAGAATTTTTCACCAACTTTTCACTGGAAGCATCATTAGCACTCTTGGAAAGACCTTCAACATTTTTAGAAGAGTGTGTTTACCGTGAAAATAGTAATAATAATTAAATTTGATTATGAGGTTCTAAAAATACGTGATCTAGTTTTATGCTAGTTTTTAGGCAGTTGATGCTATGTGAAAGAATTAGAAACAAGATAAGAGCTTGAGAGCAAGGTGATAACAAAACTGAATGGTTAATAATCGGGGCCTCGAGCTTGCCTATTCAGGGGCCTCGGGGTTGAGTCTGATGCTCGGCTGGAATCTATCAAGGGCAATCGATGGATGACTAACAGTTATGATAAATCAATGACGGCTCTTTATGGCCAATAATAAGCAATAAATGAAGAACAATAAATGGAACACAATGAATGTAAGCAATAAATGATGTAATGAGATCAAGAGAATATGTTAGAGAAGAGAGAAAATGTTCGTGTATTTCTTAGTATGAGCAACAGATGTTTACAAAATGACAAGGATCCCCTTTATATATGAGGGGAATCCTAACATAGTACAAAAAATATTAATTACAAAGATATGGAGATGGTACAACTAGTTAATACCTTGATTCGTTTTTGGACTAGTCCACTAGACTTTGTCAGCCCTATTTATGCGCCTTGGGAACTCCCCACTTTCTCTCTGTAACCGTCGGTCTGTAATGCTCTGAGGTCGAGCGTCGATGGCCCTCGAGGGATGAAACTCGACCATGGCCTCGAGCCTTCGAGACATGCCTATGAGGCGTCGTAACAATGGAAAATTGGACCCTCCGATTTTGCCGTATACAGATAGTCCCCGCGTTTCTTAGAGTGGAATGATGAGAAACAATTTTGATATCCAACTCTTTGAGCTTCCCATGATGATGTCATGTTTGTGATGTAAACCTTTACGATAACTGAGGCATCCCATTGACTCGCCTTTTCAGCGTCATTCAATGCACTGTTGATTCTCATTCTTCAAAGCGATAATATTGCCCCGATTCAGCTTCCAAAAATGCATTGATTGCATCTGCTGATACGTCTTTCAAAGACATTGATGGCGTTGTCGGTTACACCGTCACCCCCTATAAATGGGAGCCTCCTAGAACCGACTTTTCATTTAAGTGTCTTCCAATATCCTTCCACCCCTTTCTTCTCTCCGTCCTCATCCATCGTTATCCACTATATTTGAGGTCCACGACCTTAAGGTTACATGGCGGCGTTCTCATCAGCCATGCTATGGCCTTTTTCTTTGGCTTTCCCTTGCCGAGCGAGATTACAGTATCTTGTCATTGTTGTTGTTGTTGTTGTTGTTGCTGCTGCTGTCGTCATTGGCTCGAGGCGATGAGATAGGGGGGTCGATTTCTGCTGCCTCAGGATGATATTTGGATTCTACACCGCTGCTCAGGAGGGCATTTGGACTATACACCGCTGCTCACCTCCTTACTCCGGCCTGGTTTGGCATTTCATCCCTTTTGCTTTCCGTGGGGTGAAGTGGCACTTCTGGCCGGTAACTTGCATGGCAGAATGTCCCATGAAGTGGACTCAAAGTAGCCATGCAGGTAAGGCTAACACTCGCCAAGTCTTCAATCAGGTCGTGATCTTCTTGGCCTAGTAAAATCTTTTGCTCTTTGGTGGGATATGGCTTTTTCTTCATCTTTTTCCGCTTCTTCACTTTCCTCTTCTACATCTTCCCACTTTCCTCTTCTTCATCTTCTCCCTTGGAGATACCATTTTGGAAGACCGAGATGAGAACCTCGAGGAGATGGTGCTCGAAGATACTACCGTCGAAGATGCACCCCCGAGAATATATTAGGCTCTTGGCTTTTACTATATGTATACTTCTTCACTTCTTTGTTTCTATGTAAGGACCCCTTGTGGGCTTTTATAATCATATGTAAGGACCCTTCGTGGGCTTTTGTAATCAGATGTAAGGACCCTCCGTGAACTTTTGTAATCATGTGCTTATAAATATAAAGACGTCTTTTTAATCTATTTTCGATTTATGTAATATTTCCTTGTATCTTTGTTTGTAAAAAATCTAAATGCGTAACTCTACCGATCGGTGCAGATGTCGAGCCCGGGTGCAAGTATTTCTCTGGCTCTTGATTAACCCGATTCCCTATGGAATCTTTAGCCGTCCCTTAGACCGAGCCCGGGTAGGATCAGCAAACTTGGATCGTCAAGACCCCTGACTTCAAGTTGAATAAGAGAAAGGCTTCGAACTTTTGGAACGAAACTTAGCTCTTTAAACCCCGCGATACCCCTCAAGAGGTAGTTTGCTTGGGTGTCTGAGAATAGAGATAGCTTGAATTGAAGACGAAGATAGCACTATGGCTTTATCGGTAGATTTTGAGCGGGAGTTGGCTCGAGCATAGGTAGTTCGAGGTCCGG